GTTCTATCTGAAATCATAGATTCACATTGCAATTTACTGCTTCAAAAATTAAATAGTTGCAGCAGAAATCTTTTATACAGCCAATAAAAATTGGCTATTGCAGTAATTCTTTTTTTTGATATAATGCCCGGTAATGCCGCAAATCTGTACACCACAATGCCCTCAGCGGTTTCGCCCTCGGCTATAAGTCTAGCACTTGAAACAAGAATACATAGAATTATTGGAAGCAAAACAATTTTGTTTCTTCTGATTTTATTAAAAGAAGCATACGGAATTCTTCAATAAGTTTTATAATTTTCTTCAAAGAAGAATAAATTCTTTCTTTGAGTATAAAATAGCAAGCTTTTCTAAGACTAGTAACAAGTATATCTTAAAACTATTATTAAGAAAATATTCTTTGTTGAAGCAAACTATTACTTAAACATAAAATAAACTGAGTAATTACTTTTCTTGACTGTACAATAATATTTTTCTGTGTGTATAAGCGCGTATTGTCTTCGTAATAAGACTGGAGTAGTCGCTGTTGGAACAACGGCAAGTTGAAACGTTGGTGCACCTTTGCGCGCAAATTTGCAACAATAAACAGTAAATACAAATACAAAATTACTTTTCGTTAAGACCACGGTTGGACTAGGGAAAAGTGGGAAGCGAGGAAACACGTGACCGAATACTACAATCTTAACTGAGATCATCTCTACCAGTAAAATAAGAAAAATATTTTTGAGTTTAAACGTGCGTATAAGAAAATGATTTGCAATTAGATGAGATTGTTTGTAATCAGATGAAATCGTATGAAATGACATGAAATCGTGTAATCGGTGGTACAACATTTTAGCTAGTGGTCACCCCCTTCTCTGGGGGAAAAAAAGTCAGTTACAACCCATTTTGGGGCCCACAATTAGTAATCGAATTCTTTAGATTGTTCGTAACTCTAATCTTTTACGAATTTTATCCCGCGTAACTAAAAATCGCAATTAGCTGTTCTATCTATATCCAAGATATTAAAGTAGTACTAATCAATTCTCTCAATTAGTTCTGTCGATATTCAGTAACGCAAAGATAATTTTCACTTAAGTGGTAATAACCGAAACGTTGAGTTGCTTAACTACATCAAAAAACGGTCAAAATTTTTCCCAGAGTAGAGTTACGGACAATCCAAATAATTCGATTACTAACGGTGGGCCC